GGGGGGGGGGGGGAGGGGGAGTTCTTGAACCCCATTTCATGTTTTCATCAAAACTCTGCTAATATTTGTTAGATTCCGTAGCACAGTAGTAAAAACTAGAAGACACGTAGGTGTGTGATGTTCACAAATTAGAAAGTCAAAATCAGACAAATAACATGTTTGACAACAAAAATACTATCGCGCAGCAATGATAAGCAGATTAGTACATAGAATGGTTGAACATTGCAGCTGTTTCAAGTTTCACAGTAAGAAGCATTAATATGCCTTTTTACTGAGTTGAAAATGCCAATTCTACCAAAGCTAGTGTTACTAAAGTTACAGAGCCAAAATTCCAAGTTATCTGGTATGCTAAAGATGTTCAAACAAGCAACTATGATACTGCTATCTAACAGGAACGTCAGGTGTAAATAATCAATTATCAGCCATTATAGAGAGGTGAAATCCAGTGGCAACGAGTAACCCCGCCTATTAACACTTTCACCAGTTCAAGCATAGGTCCTTAGTTAACGGACACACTCCTTGTACTTAAAAGGCCTTATATAGCATGTAGACATAATCGTTACTCTTTTGAGGTCAAGCTACCATTTCCGAAAGACACAAATCTGTTACTTTATCTAAATTGTCCAGCTAGATTCCCTTCAAAAGTTTAACAAAATACTCCGTCGCAAAACCTCAGGGCATCTTATTTATCCTTCCTGACCTACTTATAACTTAGAATTCAAGAGCAGAAAACTTTTTCTGACCCAAAAACATATCACAATAAATTTCACCTGGAGCAACATCATAGGACTGCTGGAAAGTAACCAATGCAAGTGGAAATGTACTTCTGTCCTGAAGGAAAGAAGAATGGAATAAAGGGCAGTGGATCTACGGAATTGAATGAGTTCGAAGATATACTATAAGGTCAATGTAGTGTTAAGAATCTGATCCTCTCTATAATGCTAATTAAACTGAAGACTATATCTAAAATACATTTCGATTACACATTTGGTAAAGGTGCCCAAGATTGAACTCCTTAAATCATTTCTCCCATTAATGAAAGAGCACATCATTGCATTCTATATGTTTCCCCTGAAAGACCAAACATCTAATTTAATTCATCAAATTGAAAACCTAATACTGTATACATTGAGACAATTCTCCTTCCTTTCTTGTTATTACCTGTTTCTTATGATTTTAGTAGGTGTATAAAATGTTAAAGTGCAGCCAGGTAACACTGAGAAGTCTAAAAGAATCAGTTCATATACAGCCAAAAAAAAAAAGGAATCCCTAGGAAGTGATCGTGGCAATCTATTTAGAACCTGACCTGTCAAGGAAAATGGAGAACTTAAAGGGAACCCAACATACAAGGCAAGAAGAAGAAAGAAAAGAAGTACCTGTACCATTTTCTTTTCTAAAGATTAAGAATGTCACTTTCTATTATCTACTACTTCTCAGCATCAAAACAAGGATATAAGTTGCTCTGACTACTGGTACATTTTCTTTTCTAATCAGAAGGAAACATCTTGACAAAGATGAACATTTGTTTTGCTAAGAATAGAGTCACCCATGCTTAGTTTCCCTAGAGTACGGAAAACTTGCACTAGATCCTGGCTCCTCTCAAATATGCAGAGAGCTTTCCCTCATCGAAAAGCTGGCCTGGGCACTTCTAGATATGAAGATCTAGCCTACTTCCTATCCGTTTCTCTTTCATCTCTTCTATTCAATGATAGTACAGATCCTTATCAACCAAGAACCTAGACAGTGAGAACACTTTAGGCTAATCAAGTCAAGGATCAAAATCAATTCTGCAACTCTCCCTCCTTCCTGGTAAGAGTCTTTCCGCACATATTTAGTGTTATTCCAGAAAACAAAAATTGCAGTTAAAAGGAGTACATAACCAAGAAGCTTATGTGAAATGTGAGATACAAGCATGCAGAATGATCCATCCAATTGGCAACAGCATAAGTACACAAAACAGAAGTATAGACATGGTTGTTTAGAAAGCTAGATTTTTTTTCCCAGTATTACATCTCACAGTTCCGCAGCACTCAGGATTTTGACAATTCAATCCATGCAACTCATTAGAAAAGCAATCTTCCTCCCCATGTCAAATCATGCAAGCAGAGTTGTACCAATTCAATATGGCGCAATTATGCAACTTAATATGAACATTATCTCATCAACAGAGTCATATATACACAATGTATATCAAGCTGAAAGCATTTATTATAACTGATTATCTAAGAAGTAGCCCAAGGAAAGCCTTTATGTTATTTGCATTAACAAATCACAGGAACGATGCATGTCAAATAGAACAACATCCATAAATTAAAGATATGAAGCCCTAAATGTTGAGCTAAGTACTCAAAATGAAAGAATGTCACATTTCTATATTTAGTACTTTTGGTATGTTATATACACCTTTAGTTAAGGACTCAAGATAAAAAGAATTTCTAACCTTTCTTAAAGTTCGTGTCTAGTCAATCTAAGACACAACATGAAATGGAGGGAGTAGTAAATACAGTAACATCAAATCACTCAGGCTAAAACTTGCATAATAAGCCAGCATGATAATCATAAGCTACTTTTTGAGACAGGACAGCTTTTTATCCAAACGATGACCGAAAAGAAGCCTGTTACCTGAAAGGGAATACCTTGATCAAAGATATTTAAGTGCAACTAGAATCATAAAAGACAAATCGAGCACTCATGGTAAGTGGAAGTAGCCTCTCATACTCAAGTATAGCATAAGAATCTGACATCTAATATGGATTAACTGTTATGATACAAAAGCTAATGAATATGATCACAGTATGTACAGTCTTTGATTGAGTTGTGGTCTAGAAAAGGAATATTCTTGCAGACATAATTCATTTTAACTCCCATGAACGAGACAGTATAATGAAGAGTTATCCATGTAGACACCAAACAGGAAAGAAAATCTCCAACGAGCTAGATTCCTCTTACGTTATTGAAATATATAAACAGAAAGAAGTCGTTATTTAGGATACAACATTCACATGCGTAAATTGAACTGTAAAACAGACAAATTAGGGAAATATAGAATGATAACCATTGAGAATACAGCAAAATGCATTGATATCAAAGTTGTTGAAGGCACATATTGAAATAGTCACCAATGAAATACAGTTGCCTTTAAGAAAACTAAACTTGCCTAGAAAAGAGTATCTGCAAGTACCTATCTCCGCTGCAAAGATAGAATGTACATGTTTTCAACAAAGAACACCATCTAATGCCTTAAAAAAAAGGCCATATCAGGAACCTACTTATTCACTGCTGTACTAATAACTCCCTACCTAAAAGAAACTCCTGCGGTTTTAACAGTAACCCGTGACACAGTCCATATCTTGAGCAAATCTTCTGATCGACCCTTCACCACCCTTTGCCATGCAACTTTGATTTGTGGACTTCACATCCTTAGACCTGAATAGTGTTCTCTTTTTCTTCCCTCTTAAGAGGCGAAACGGGTAATGTTCCTTCATCCTCACCATACCCTTTATTCCCAACCAACATCCTAACCTCCTTTTCACAACTACCCTTTTGTAAACTCTCGAAACCCTTATCAGAATTCAATACATCCCAGAAAAAATCTGTCATCACACTCTCGTAATTCGGCATCTTGGCATAACCAGGGAAATAGTTAATGTCAATAATAAGATACCTATTACCAACTCTATTATCCCTAATCAAATCAAAGTTAAAAAGATGCAATTTCGTAGCTCGTCTAAGCCCTCTAGCTATATCTGTCAAAAAACTCAATGGGGGCAATTCAGCATCATCCAAATTCATCAACTTATAGAACTTATCAT